CAGCTTTTTGCAAAGGGGCTTTTTGAAGCAAGAAGATGGTGAAGATCACCTGGGGCAGCAGAGTGCAAGACAGCAGGGGGCCAAGTGGGGGGAGATAGGCGGGTGGAGGGAGTTGAAGTGCGCCTGGAGTCGTAAGTGCGGGTAGGCAGCCAAGCACCCGAATTTTGATCACGTGACTGCAGGGGCGCTGCAACAGCCATAACTTTGGGCACCGGTCATAAGTTACTTTTTTCATTGCATTGGTAACTTTGGACAGTTGCTGAACAAATGGTCATTAAGCGAGGACTACCTGTATATGCTATATTCATTTTGATACCATTCTTTGCTCTATTGTTTTAAAAGCATCATTACAATATGTGTAATTTAGTTTACTCAGATATCACTGGGTTTGGCAGGTTTATTAAATAACGCATAATTTAGCCATATAATAACTACATTTATTAACTGAATTTACGTTAAAACAATGAATTGTTGTTACAAATGGAGTTATAAGCTGGGGAAGTCTAAGAAATCTAGGATATCTTCGTTTGCCAACTTGACAAATTGGAAAAAAATGAAAGCTGAAAAACCATCAACAGAATACAGGTGGTCCTCGCTTAATGACCACAACAGGGACTGGGGAATTTGTTGTTAAGTAGGGTGTTGTTAAGTGAATCGCACCTGATTTTACAACCTTTTCTGCAGCTGTCTTAAACGAATCACTGCAGCCATTAAGTGAATTACGCACTTGTTACAGAAATCACACAGTTCCCCATTGATTTTGCTTGCCGGAAGCCAGCTGGGAAGCTCGCAAATGGTGATCACGTGACCCCAGGACACTGCAACCGTCATAAGTACGAGCTGGTTGCCAAGCGCCCAGACTGCGATCACGTGACTGTGGGGATGCTACGACATTTCTAAGTGTGAGGACCGGTTGTAAGTCCCTTTGTTCAGCACTGTTGTAACTTCAAATCGTCATTAAACAAATGGTTGTTAAGTGGGGACTAACTGTAATAAAACAAAGACATTGGCCTCAGAGTCAACCACATGTTCATGTTTTTAAGAAAAGCAGCTGAGGAAAAGGGAAGTCTTTCTAATCTTTCAGAAAAAAAGCAAAACAAGGCAAACTATAATAAACCTCCCCCCATTTTCCCCTCCCTAAGCATACAGAACTGTGCCAAACGTTTAGGCAGCTGTGAAAAAATGCTGTAAAGTAAGAATGCTTTCAAATATGTATATAGTAATTGTTTATCAATTTACAAAATGCAAAGTGAGCGAACAGAAGAGAAATCCAAAT